TATTATCAAGGAAGAGCAAACTGAATGTTTCCCAGCCATCAGCTTTCCTTTGAAGCTGTCTCATTTCACGAGGAGCACAACTGGCAGGCAGATTAACTTCTTAAATTTGTAATATCTGGTTGCTAGATAAACACCCACATTCCATGAAATATTAACAAGTTAAGCTAATGGGGAGCATGATCAATGCTCAGTGGGGACATTCATTTTCCCTCCTGACTTGTGCACAAATGTTCATTACTGCTGAGTTATTATTTGGCGTTGTGTGCCTTTCATTTTTATGTTCCACAGCCGGCAACTTCTTTCAGTTTCATTTTCTTGTTGACACAGTGAACTTTCTTATAAAAATCAGTCTTTTTACGCCTCCAGCACATGCATCAGGATGCATACTGACCCCCTGGTTCTGGTTCTGGTTCACACAAATCCTACAGAGCATTAAGTAAAAGGAAACACTGAGAAAGGTAACTTAATATGGGGTAAGAGATAATTAACAACTGAGTCAAATAAATAGTCTAATCTTTGAGTTTGAACATTGTAGGGACAGATTTATTCAGTTTAAAAAAACACTGGTTCTTGGCCTAGGAGTGTTAATAGGAGTCAGAAATGCTCAGGCCCATTAAAACTCTGCCATAAGTTTAAGAATTAAGAGTAAAAACCGTCAAACAACATTATCTGGATCCAATACAGATGTGGGCCGGTCAGCTGAGCTGAAAAGAAAGGCTTATTCACTGCTGTTCAGCACCTGGAATAACAAAACACTACTTTCCCTGGATCCCTTAGCGCATGGAAAATCTCAAAGTAATGGAGAGTGTGAGGAAGACACACAGGCAGATGGAAAAGAGATTAGATAGATGGAGATAAAATGAATAGTAAAGTCAGAATTGTAACTTGTCAAGAGTTACAATGACAAAGATGGAAAAATAGTCATTTTGAGGGAGTACTATCTAAGTACTCTATGTGGATTCAGACCCCGGAGCCCTGTAGGTAAGAATATTGCTTTTTCTGTGGCAGGATAATCCTGCCCTTAACACACATAGTACCAGCAACAGAGGGAGAACTGATCTTTTCATACTTTACCTGGAAAAAGAGCTTAGGATCAGAACACAGCAGGAAAGGAGGTTAAATGATCTGGGAAGGCACATAGACGATAGTCGAGTGTAGGAAACGCACATAGCAGACAGACGTGTTACCAGAAAACAAGTGAGACCAAATAACACGAAGAAAAGAATTGTCCATTTAGTGCTGATGCAAGCACTAACTGGAATAAGTCCTCCACCATCGATTTCACAGCAGAGAGAATTTCTGTTCGATGCAGAAGTTATTCAGCGCGGCCATTCACTGTAACCATCTCAGCAGAGGGAAATCAATTAAAGTTAAAAATCAAATCTCATATCATTTCGCCAGACCAACCCACTCAGCATGGGTCTATGTCAAGGAAAGGTTTGAAAAACAGAGACGGGGAGGCAGGAATGACTAAAGGTCCAAAGAAAATGATTAAATAAAGAGGCAGAAAACAAGAATTTCTTATTCAATGGTGAAAGTAAAAGTCAAGCTTTACATGCAACAACAAAACCCGATTACCACTTTTATTGTTGGATCACAGAAATGGGCTAACAAAGAGGAGAAAATGGTGGTGCAGAAGCTTTCATCCACAATGTAAAACTTTTTTTTTTTCTGTCGCAGACCGTTTCAGTGTCCCAAACTTTATTGTAATCCCATGTTTAATAATCTTATGAAGATTGTTTGGAGACTCTACTGTGTAAAGATCATGTCCTCCATAATAGTAGTTTAATTATTATTGTTTTAAGATACAGAACATCTCTATTTTTTAGCATTTACTCTGATTTAGAGATTGTGATGTTGCTTTTTTTTAATGAAGTAGAGAAACCTGTTTTCATGTCAATGCAAAAAATCTACAGGACAGAAATAATTAAATGTAACGATCTGATGGAAAGTCAGAGGCTGGGGGGATATTAGGAGAAACTTGAGGGACAAAAGATGAGCAGGGACAAAAGATGACCACAGGGGTAACGACATAGAAAAGAAGTAAACTGAAATAACTGGATAAGAATGTCAACAAGAGCCAGAAAATAGACATAGTGAAAAAAAGATGACAGGAAAAAAACATTTCTGTTCACAAAAGTAATTATAAGAATACTATATTCTGGAAGAGGGGCATTATAAAGATGACATAACGGAATGGCATGTGAGAAACACCAGGCAGAATATTGTAGTTAGTTTGTAAGTCTACTGGTATGAAACTGATGATTGGAGGACTGCTACCTGTTAGAGATTGAGCACAAAGTCACACAAGAAACACACTCTCACACATCTGTCCTTCCGGAAACATCTAAAGATCCACTTTCTGTGCAGGATTAGACTTACGTATAACTACAGTGGCTTTGTGGAAGTATCTGCATTCCTCAGTGTTTTTGTTTTTTGGGTAAAAACCTATAATATGAAAGGATTATTTTATAAATCCATGTGTAAAAAGCCATTTTGTCTGAAACTTAACTAAATTTGTGTGTACACATGATTCTATTAATATCATCCCACCAACCACAAGTGACATTAAACTTGAAAAGCAAACCATTTAAGGTAATATTGGTTCAGGCGTGAACTGTGGACTATTGGAATTATTCCTCATTCACTCTTGAGCCTGCATTGTTTGTACACATTTAATATCTTTCTGCCTGAAGAAATGTCACCATATGCTATACTTTAACCCTGACCATTTCTTTTCTTTCAGAGCATGAAATGAGTTTAACATGTGTAGCCATACAAAACGCACCTAAGGCATGATGCTGTTTGTTTAAGCTGCCACAAGGAGACTGTAGATGGCCATTTTAATATTACGAATAAAGAAGCTTCAACTGGTTTATGGTTGAATCAGAGGATCAACTTTTTTGTTACTAGTTCACAAGCATGGGTCTGCAATTGATTTATGTGCAACCTCTTTAATTGCCATGAAAAAAAATATTAATACATGAATAATTCAGTGTTTATGAGTGATTTAGTCTTCGAAATCTAATTATGCTGCAATTAATTTTTTTAAACTAAAGTAGGAGAGTTATGGTAAAAAATATGGCCTAAGAAAGTCTTTTTCTAAAAAAAGCAAACAAAAAAACCCTTTTGTTGACAGGTAGCTTAAACTGTTGTAAAATATATACTAGTGCGGGGACAACTTTTGACTGCTTTTGAATGTTATTTGAGAGAGGATGGACATGTAAGACCGTCAAATCTGTATTTCTTTACAGTAATCGTGTTCAGTAATTAAATAAAAAAAAAAGTAATGAATTTAGCTAAGACTATTTTTATTCCATAGAACTTTTGAAATATTCTGTTCTAAATTTGAAAATTCCCTCTCAACAGAATCCCCTTTTGAGCAAAATACAGAAGAAAAGAAGATCTGATATGCACAATAACCTCTAGATGAACCGACTAATTTGCAAGAATCCACATATGGTTTGAAAGTCAAATGAGTAGATACAGATGAATGGGAACTACTGAGCAAACGTTGTTGCAATGGTTCAGAATTTGCCTTTTTTTTTTACGATACTCAAGATAACTTGTTAGTTTCTATGCTTATGATATTGAACTTTGTTTTCTGTTTTGAAATGTATGCAATTTTTGCATGAAAAACTCCTATTTTGATTTCTATTTACATTAATTTAAAACAGCAGAAAACACATCAAGACTTTAAAATAATGAGACAAAAATAGGTCACAGCTGGTTAATCCAAAGTCTTCATTAAGAGTGTCAGAGCACATAAAAGTTTTAGATTTGACAGAAGTAGAAATGTGAAAATAGTTCTCAAATACATATGGAGATCACATTATACTCAACGTACTATATTTACCAAATCGATTATTTAGTTTTGTTTTCATACCTCCTGTTATATTGGGTTTTTATTGACAGGAAGGTGGTTCAGCTCCACGTCCTATAATTTGAATAATAAACCATTTGACATCAGCTAGACATTTAGACTTTCTTTTTGGGGTAAAAAAAAACTCAACTATAAAGTAGTTAGGCAATATTTTATTAATGATTTGAAGTGTGCATAGTTGTTGCATTAAAAGTTGTTTTGTCTCTAAATTGAAAAAGACAGTTTGGTTATGAAGTAACGTTTTTACACCCATGCAAGTTTAACTCTTCTGTTCACGCCTGAGCAGAACTGAGCTGGTCTGTAGAGCAGCTCGTTTTACTTTTTCATCTCAACTCATCAGCTTTCTGTTGTACCGAAACATTCCGGCACATTTGTGCAACAAGGCATATTCCGTTTTATTTTTGTTTTTTTTAGTAAAAGACTTTTGCATCTTTGGGCAAAACTAAATATCAAAAACCTAATAAAATAAAGGCAATAAAATTATATGTTAGGTTAGACTGTTTTAAAACACATCTACCATATTTCCTGCAAATTAAAACTTAAATATTCTGAACATTTGTTTATGGAAATACCTTTCACAAATAAAATGTGGATTACTGGTAAAGGAGGAAATGGATGACACAGAATGTCTTTATTTGGTTTATCCACACCACTGGAGCCTGGATTTCTGATGGATAATCATTAACATTTATTTGGTTGTAGCTGTAAATGAACATCACCATATACAAAAACAAAGGGCTAAATGTCCTTAATAAAAAATGAAAACGGGTCACTTAGACTCGAACACCACACAAGGGTTAAGAGATGAAAATCCAGAGCTCAGATCTTATCATGATTTAAAGAATCTCTGAATAAAAATAATGTAGTACATATTGTATTATTTTGACCTTTTATTATTGATGATTATTTTTATTTGATAAAATGTGCTGCAAGAAAAATCTTTATTCAAATGTTTTTTGGCTTTTAACCAGCATCACACCTTCAGTTAACTAGTAACCACATGTCGTCACTGTTTTTCCCTATGTACACATGCACAAACAAACCTTCTGCTTTATGGTAAATGACATCATCCTCAATGACGATATAAACGCTGTGAGCTGTTCATGTTTAATCAGCTCTCACTTTGATCCTCACCTCAGCAGGTAAGAGACCATCATTTAAAATGTTTCTAGAACTATCCCATAAAATGGATCAAGTTAAAACTACTATTTTTGTTAAACAATCATGGATTTAGACTCCATTTCTGTTCTACAGAAAAAAACAAAACAGTTAAACTGCAACATTTTGGTGACCTCTACCTACTGATTTATTTTTTCCTAATTAATTTCCTTTATTCTACAGATTATAACAAAATAAGTTATCCTGTCAAGATGAGACTTGTGTTTCTTGTTCTATGTTCAGGTAAGCATTCTTTATTTCTGTCTAACCCTGCCCATGTTTTTGTTTTAATGTTTTTTTAAATCTTTTTTAACAGGACTTCTGCAATTTACATATGCGACAAATCGCCTACACTCCTTTGAATATATTGAAGAACGAACACAATTTAATTTCAGTCTGTGTGAAAATAAATCACTATTCACCATCTATGATGAGGAGGACGCAAGATTTGTGCAAATGTTGGTGGAACAAAAAGGTCCTGTAACTGTCTGGCTTGGCCTCACACGAACTGACAAACGGATCAATCTTGACGATGTCCCTCATTTACAAAAAAACTTGAGTGAAGGAGAGCAAATATGCTTTGCTTATGAAAATGGGACCGTTTCGGCCTTCGAATGTTCGCAGAAAAAACATTTCATGTGCCAAAATGGTAAGTAAGAATACCTATGCTTTGCCTTTTTTTTACTGCCGTAATCACAAAAAAACTCTCTATGACTTATTAATGGCATACGGTGTGGTGTTGCAGATCCATGATATACTTTGTTCACATTTACTTCAGTTTTTGTTGTCGTTTTTTAGGTGGAAATTTTGAGCTTATCGAAAAGGAAAAAAATTGGTGCCAGGCAAAACTTTACTGCAAAAAAAAATTTCAGGACTTGGTGAACAGTACAGCTATTCTTGAGAAGAACATAACAACTCAACATGGAGCGTTTTGGACTGATCGTAAGCTGGACCAATGGGAATGGAGGGACAAAAGCTGTTCGACATTTCGAGACTGGGCGGAAACCCCATCTGATTACTTTACATTCTTTAGCGACTACAAACTCAAAAGTGCTGCATCCGATATTGAATATCCAACAATTTGCTCCACAGGTAATCCATAAGCAAGTTAAAGAACCCGTATAGACACAAATGTGAAGTAACCATGTATTTGGTTTCCAGGCACAGCACGAATCGTATTCATTAACACTCCTCGGACCTGGGAAGAGGCTCTGCAGTACTGTGAGGACAATCACTCAAGTCTCCTTGAAATTAGGGATGAGGCTGATCAAGAAGCTGTTATGAATTGGCTAAAAATCATTAATCCTGCAACATCAGTCTGGATTGGCATGAGACAGAGTTCTGTGTTTGGGTTCTGGATCTGGAGGGACGGCATAGTGAACTGGAGGGGCCACTGGAAAGATGACACGCAGCCCATGCCTCCCATGTCTTTTCAGTGTGGCGTCATTAATCAAAACTTCACATGGAGTGATGAAAACTGTTTGTACGAGCGGCCCTTTCTTTGTGAGGAGGACATTTTCTTCTTTAATTAGTTACAAGCTCTTTTGACCAGAATTTGCAAGCCTTTTTACAAGGTTGATGAAGGAAATACAAACTAGAAATTTATAAAAATCATCATCCTATTTTACTCATTTTTATTTTTTTTTTATTTTTATTTCTTTATCCACTATCTTAACTTATTTTTTTGTGGTGACAGCTTGTATTAATGGGTAAACATTTGTCTAAATAATGTAACTTACGTTTAATCTAACTATGATCTTGGGTTAATCACCAATTTAGCAATGTTTCTCTGAATTACATTAAGATATTAAAGTGTGAGTACTGTAATATTTATAATTCTAAGAACTAATAACTGAATAATTATATTATGTACATTTTTGTATGTAGTGAAGGTTTCATTAGCTTCACTTATTTTAAAACTATTGTACTGCTTTTTTTTCCTGTTATGATGGGTGGAGTTTATTTTTATCCAAAGTCAAATAAATATACCTGGAAAATTAAATGAAAAACAAGCTATGAAAACAGACATTTTACAGTGATTATGCCATTTAATGGTAAAATATTTTCTTAGTTTTATCATCTCATGTCATCTAAAACACCATTTGACATCACTAATACGATATTAAAGGTCACTGATAATCAGAATGGAGGAAACAACAGCGGAGATAAAAGCTCAGCTAAAAGGGACTCCTCAGATCTGCAGGAAAGTCCATTTTAAGATGTGGTCCACATAAATAAGAGTCTCAAGTCTGGTGTCCGTTCAAGCAGGTTTGAATTAGCACAAATTCCAGGACTCAAAGTTAAATGCATTCAGCTAATGTGAGCTGAGCCTGAAGATAAACGTTAATGTTTGACTTCAGGCGAAGCCACAAAGAATGTGTTTGTCCATGATTCATGCAGTACCTGAACCACACAGGCTGCACACGGACCAAACAGTGTCTCATGCAATTTCTTTTTAAATTTTGCGCAGATGGCTGCATGTGTGAGTAGGTTTCTACAGATGTTCCATTAGATAACTTTCAAATGTTTGTTTTGGGAAAAAAAGGGGTCTTTCTTTGAAATAAGACAGAGCCAGAGGGGAGAGGGAAAAAGTGCAGCAGATGGAGTGAAGAAAGGCGAGACGAGCAGTGTGGCCTGTCAAACTATAAACGTCATGGGGCGAGCCCAAGGCTCCCGATGACACCAGAGATGAGTGGACACGTTTAACGGTGTGTGCTGAAGGTGCGCACAAAACCACCCACGCCTCAGGAAACTGTGTATCCCCTAGACATCCCATTATGTCTTCTAATCACCCGTCTGAACTCCCACTATTAAGTACTCGCATACACAGATGAGTCCTTATTACCTGCAGAGGCTGGCAGAGATATTGTCCTCTAGAGAAATAGAAGCCTTTCATTGTGACTGTTGGACTCTCTGACCACGTCCTCCATTGACAGCCTTCATATGATAAGGTGTAACAGATGGGGGGGAAAAAAACTCCTGATCCTGTACCTGACAAAAGAATGGACAGAAGGTCAGACATTACAGTGGGTGTGCAGAGGAGGATGATTTGCCATCAACAAATCAGAAAGTCACTGGTTTTACTCTTTGCTTCCTTTGGCCAGTCAACTTCAGGAACTTTAAAGATCTAATCCCTTTTGTGGCAATTATTATGCAATTGCATTGTAGTACAATCATAGTCAAGTAAACTACATTATAAATTGCAGCCAATGAAAAATATTAATACCACCAAATTGCAACAAAGAATCACTTTGTTTTTGGAGTTTAAAAAAAAAAAAAATTGTCCAAAGGAAGTATCAAGCCTCATCTTTAAAGTTAGACCGGATGTTTTCTTCTTGGGCATGTGTTGCAGCTGGTTCCACAGAGAATAACCTAATAACTGAAGGTTCTGCCTCCCACTGTACTTTAAAAATAAAACTCTAGGACCCACAAATTGATCTGCAGTCTGAGAGGAAAATCCTCAAATGAGAAAATATATCGTGTCAAGATCTGTAAGTTATAATGGAGCTTTGTTGTTTAGAACTTTATAAGTGGGGGATAGAATTTGAAATTATTTTCTAAAATGTTGTACGATTGTCCAATCTTAAATACATGCAGTAGCTCATCTGCATCACTCTGAAACAGGAATTCCCTGGTTTTGTTGATATAACAAACCTGTTTCGAATGCTCCTTGTAATGTAAAAGCACATTTAGTTATCAATAGTATACATCTATTTGCCACTTACTGTTCTCACATTCCAAAATATACTAATTAATGCTAAACTACTAATAACTGAGTACATATTTTGCTATCAATCCCAAGTTGCAATCACAGACATAATGGATATTACCCCACTCTGTGTTATTTGGGATGAAAACCATGAAAACACTGATGATATTCAGCTTGACTTTAAGTGTGCATGTTTGCAAAGAGCTCACAAAAACAGGCCCATACTGAGGATAATGGATTGAATGGACTCAAGATGCTTCTTCTAATTGCTAGTTGGCCACCTATGACTACTGACTCCACTGTTCCCGGGCCCTTGCCCTTTTGCTTCACCAGTGACGCTCTTGAATAATTAGTATTCCATTCTCAGCCCTAACAACCTTTCATGAGGTTCCTGTCACTAATGGCTGATTTAGCAATACCTGCCTGAGTAATGGCATTTCCTACACGTTCAACTTAGAGATCTCTAATTTACATTGTAAATTGGCCATCAGAGCTACTTTTGGATCATGGGAGTTGAGATGATGTAGACGCAGCCCTGTTTGTAGAGTCCTGTGTGTGAAGCTGTCCTTTACACAACTGTCCACTCTCTCAATAAAGATTTGACTTGGGAGGACCCAAGACTCAACCTTAATCCACAATTTCTTGTGTATTCAAGATCATTTTTCTTGCACAATTGTGTCTTTATTAACCATTTATTGACTGTGCATACGGCCATGAGCGACTTACATTGGTCGCCTACTCAAAACAATCTTTTTTTATATCTGAAGGAAGCCAATTCTACCACCAGCAAAGAAATCTGAAAAAAGCTGCTGCTAAGAATACTCAGCTTGTTGTCTTCTCTTCTCGCATAAGTAGGAAGAACAGATGAAATTTCGAAGGATCTTGAGAGGCAATTGTTAGAAAGGCTTAGTGAGTCCCCACGGTGTGCCTTTCAAGTGGATGAGTCCACAGATGCCACAAAAAAAAAAAAACTCCAGAAAAACAAAAAATGTGCTTGCTTTATGAAAACAACATTGCAGGAAACAGTCGTTCAAGTGTGTGAACTGTGGGCCTCTCCAATTTTACAAGAAGCCAGTATTTCTGCATGCTTAACTAGGAAACTATTACGCTTGTGGTAAACACAGAAAAGTGTGATGTTATAACTAATATTACTTATGACAATGTGCGTAACAAACAGCCACATATATGCACGGCCTTGCAGCTATTACCCATTTAATCCTGATGAGTAACTTAACTTCAGGTCAAATAGCTCTGGAATCTGGAAATGCGAAAAATAGCCCACTCCTCAGCTATCTTTGGCCTTTTAGTCTGTCCTCTTTTTGTTCAATATGATTTTCTAAGACGACAAAAAACGATGAAACGAGGCTGCACAGGTTCTGTGAGGTGGAAAGAGACTGTCAGCACCTGTCAGCACATTAACTGCCTTTGCTGTTGAACAGGGACGTGTGGTCTTCCAAATTTGCGAAAACCCCCAAAACCAGTAAAGCTGCAAAGCTTAACGCCACTTCTCATAACACAAAACGAGGAAAAACGACTACGAGCATAAATGGTTTATTAAATACTCAATTAGCGCCCCATTCTGTCCTCTCTACTAGAACATAGGAGCCTTGCTGTCTTTCCCAACCAAACATTTGAGTGAATCTGTCAGCAGAGATCAAAACAGAGCTCAGAAATAGACTGTGTGCTGCACGGTGAACTCAGAGAAGCTTAGCCCAGGGCTCACATTACCAGCTTTAATAGAAGGCAGTAATATAAATTTAACCTGGCATAACCCGCAGCCCATTCATATGTATTTAAAATACTATATTAACGCTCTGATTTAATTTTATTCGTCAGTTCAGTCACTTCTTGTGAACAGTTTTTTTCTATCCTTCCTCTCATTGCCTTATTTTACTGCTATTTCTCTAAAATCTTCAACTGTATATGTCCGTTTTTGTGGTTAGTTTGACCAGCTTCGAATCATCAAACTGTAGACATAAGGCTGAGGTAATAAAAGCTAACGCACTTCCTCATTTATGCTTGTTGCTTTTTTTATAATCTATGTTAAGATAATAATGGCAATACTCATCTAACTTGTGCTATTATTTCATTATGGCCCAAAAAATGTCCAAATGGCATTGCTGAAGTTTATCATAAAAAAATGATGGCTTGAGTGATAAACAATAATAGGTTCACATTTGAGATTGCACAATCTTAGAATGATGAGGCTTCTTCTCCCAATTGTTTTTATTGTTTAGCATTGTACTCACATTACTGTTAAGCTTATTTGTGTTTCAACAGACAGAAATAATTAAAACCTCACTTTCACTTCTACTTTCAGACTAGACTACCCTGAAAAAGCTCAGGTGAAAGCAGCCAGTTGTGTGTCATCCAACACTGCCCTATTATCATCCATCCACTTCGTTTGAATACTCCCCAATAAAACCGGCCCAAAGTGCAAACATTGCCATGTTCACCTCACCGATGCTGATCTGTCACTAGGAGTTGGTCTGTTTTAACATTTGTCATTTTAGTGATTACTTTATGGTAATTTTCTTTAGAAATCTGATATTAGCAAGATATCAAATTCTGCACAAACACCCAAAAAGACCAAACCAACCTCACAATAGACTGGGATTGTTTAACTGGTGGATTTAGGAAATGGAACAATACAGTTTTTTCTCACACAGGTAGGAAACAGTGTCTCTCCCTCTCTCACACACATGCAAAATACACACACACACACATTCAGTCCAGCATTGCATGAATTATTAATTCAACCTGTCTGTCATGTTTCTGGCATGCCGCACACAAAGATTTTTTTAAAAGGCAGTCATTCGCAAGCAAAGGATACACACACACACACACTTTGAAGACATTATGACGAGTACAGTACACACACAGTTAGGCAACTATTCCATACCATAATTGCTCAGCCACTGGAGCA